TACTGTATGCGTGTTTTACAAGCATTATTTAGCCTCATTCTCGTAACAACTCTATGAAGCAAACATTACTACTAATCTCCATTTCAATGATGAAGACAAATATTGAATCTTAGAGTGTTTAAATAAGTTGTTCAAATCAAAGTTAAATAGCTGGTTAAACATCTGACCTTGGTTTTGAACTCAGAAAGTCTACTTTTTACTTTTCCATTATGGAAGCCTGTTTTTAAAAATTTCCTTTTCCCTCTAAAACCCTAAATTCTTTAGAAAAAAATCATTTTTCCACAAAAGAAAAAATATTGTAGAAGAAAGGAGGAAGAAAGTAAGGAGAGAAGTCAGGCAACAATTTCATCATAGTGTAATAATCACATTATAGCTACGGGGGGCTTCCCAGGTGGATCAGTGGTGAAGAATCCACCTGCCAGGGCAGGAATCAGTGATTCGATCCCTGGGTCAGGAAGATCCCCTGGAGGAGGAAATGGCAGCCCACTCCACTATTCTTGCTTGAGAAATCCCATGGACAGAGGAGCCTGGTGGGCTGCAGTCCATGGGTCACAAAAGAATCAGACACGACTGAGCAACTAAGCAACAACTTAACTTGGAGGTTGTTTGATGTTAATGGAAGAAATTTTCAAATATTGAGTTGCAGGAAAGTCGTTCTGGCTTCTATATGATTTATCCTGAATTTTATACTAACTAAAACAGCCTGTGTGTGGCCTATATATAATATATATAAAGCATATATTGTACATCTGCTTTAGTCATTAAGGAAAATGTATTGACCATAGGGAAAGAATGGCCCTGGTAAAAATAAAGATTAAATCCCTCCAGTCCTGGAACACCAGTGTCGGTACTCCTTCAAGGATGAGACCCTTTCCCCAGGTGTCAAGGTCATACTGACTCACTGGGTTCACGCTGATCTGTTTATTTGCTTGCTTGTTTGTTTTTTGGAAATGTTGAGGAATGTATTGCTGACTTGTTTGATGCTCTTTGTTGTGACAAGATAGAAAGCCGTGTGAAAACCATGCCTCCGTGGAGCAATTCCTCAGACTTATCTAAGAGGCTGTCTCTAAGGCTAGAGTCCTCAATTTGGCTCAAATAAAACTCTCTTTTATTCATATTATAGTTTGGTTATTGATTAACTGCATCAAAAATGTAAATGGACGAGGCACGACGTTACTTGCAGCGGGTGTTAGAGTACCAGGCCTACCCACCCTTGTCTATAGAATTGCCCTCTGTGGGGTAGAGCCACATAGGGTGGTAACCCAACACCCACCATCACCCCCCATCAACTTCCCTGCCCCTTCCCATCCCCAGGCCACAACTAATGATTGAATAATACAGGACTGTAAAACTCCAAACCCACATCTACAGGGCATTTATTTCAGAGAACGTCCCTTGAGGAGCTGGCCAAGGCAAGACTTGGCCAAACTCTTATTCAAAATAAATTCAGGACTTCTCTGGTGTCCAGTGGTTAAGAGTTCGCCTGCCAACACAGGGGATGCAGGTTTGATCCCTGCTCCAGGAGGATTCTACATGCCGCAGAGGAATTAAGCTCGTGTGCCACAACTTCTGAGGCTGTGCTCTAGAGGCAGAGAACCGCAACTGCTGACCTCACGTGCACAACTATTGAAGCCCAAGTGCCCTAGAGCCTGCGCTCCACAAAGGAGGCTACCGCAGCGAGAAGCCCAAGCATCGCAACTAGAGAGTGGCCCCCACTAGCCACAACTAGAGAAAAGCCCGTATAGCAAGGGAGACCCAGCAAAGTCTAAAATAAAATTGTATTATAAAAAAATTAAATACTATAAAATTAGTAATGAACTCAGAAATCTCTCATTCCCCAGTGCAGTGCTGTATGTGTTCTATGAGAGGCATACTACTCAAAAGGTAGGACTATTTGCAGTATCTGACCATTCTCATGGGAACAAATTTAAATTGATTTTGTGAGCCATGTCGACATTTAATCAAGTGCGGTTATTAAAAAAAGAAATACTGCAATCTCTTCTTCAACAAACCTTCACTTTCTATCCCAAAGCAATTACATTGCATAATTTTATTCCAAGTTTGTAGTTGTATTATGAACCAAGTGGAATCAGGGTTTCTTTAGTTGTGGAGATGAGAATTCTTTTTTAAATATTTACTTTTCTTTGGATAATTACTAAGAGAAGTTTCCATATTTTTAATAATAAGACTTTTGTTATCCCTTGATGACTTTGGTTTAATCATGTTTGCCATATTTCTTATTTCTTTTGATACTGGCCTCCTAAGAGAGATTTCTTTTGAAGCATTTGTGTTCCCTTTTATGCATTTCTAAAGTGCATTACAAGCCTTATTTCCTTTTCCCTGAAACTTTCTTTAGATTCACCTGAATAATTGATTGTATTATTTTTACTTTACAAAAATACAGGGTGTGAGATTTCTATTTTTGTGTAAAATCAATTTGTCATTCCCAACTGTTTTCTGGCTCCTCTGTGGAATTCAGGTCATTTAAGGCTATGCTGTTGCTAAAAGGAATGTCTTAATTTTTTTTTTTTAATGTCAGATTGCATTACTCTCTTATTTACCCCTCACATCTCAGAACTGGCCATCTTTGGCACAATATTCCAAAATAATGGACCACTATATGATCCTTACCTATAATAGAATTCACTAAAAATCTAACGAAAACGTATAAGGTAGGATTGAATTTTGACTAACGTGCCTTATAAAGCAACTCCGAATATTTGTGTCCTAGAAGCCTGACCTCATCCAACCTGACCAGTGTGTGGCTGTCTGGTTATATTATAAAGCCAGATGTACTATGAAGTGGGGTGCAGTGTTTAAACACTGAGTCATTATCTCAGTGTGAACTGTGCTAATGGAGACATACTTGCAGTTAACCAAAAGTGTAGATAAACTTCTTAAACCCCAATAAATATAACGGTGCCTTCGCAGGCAGTAAGGCCTAGAACGTGGTTTTGACAGTCAATTCTATAATCAATTTGTCTGAGCTATAGTCCCCACTGTTTGGTCAAATACTCACCCAGATGGTGCTGTGAAGATATTTCTTTAGTGATTAACATTTAAATCAGTAGCCTTTGAGTAAAGGATCACAGTAGTCTCTGTAATGTGGGTAGCCCTGACTCTATCAGTCAAAGGCTAAGCAATTCTGCTCAAAAACAGCAACACAGAAACCTTGCTGAGATTCTAACTTGTCGGCCGGCCCTGCAGATTTTGAACTCGAGGTTGCGACAACACTTAGGTGAATCTCCCAGCCTGCCCCACACACATTTCAGACTTACCATACCCCACCATCACATGATCAAATTTCTTGAGATAAATCTTTCTAAACCTCTCTCTCTACATATGCATGCACGCACGCACACGCGCGCGTGCACACACACACACACATACACTGTTGGTTCTGTTTCTCTGGAGAACTTTAATAAAATGGTAGTTACTTATTGCTCGTCAGAAACTCCACGGGACTGAATATACAAATGGGCAAAGGAGAGACCATATATAAAAACAGAACTTTGACCTACCATCTGCAGCAACCCCCTCAGAAACGAACTCCTTTTCTACAATAAACAACCTAGGAAGCCAGCTGCTATAAGTCAGTTTTATAGGAAATCTGATTGTTATCTTGAGTGACAATCCAGGAAGCTAAACAATTCCTTCTGTAATAATCAGCCCCAAATGGTTAAGACTTGATTAACAACTGATTGCTTCCCTAATTTTTGTCTCTGCTTTTAACTGAGGACTAATCCTAGAAAGTCAGATATGCTCTCCATTCTTGCCTGGGAAATCCCATGGACAGACCAGCCTGGGGGGCTACAGTTCATGCGGTTTCAAGAGTTGGACACCATTTACCAACTAAACCACAGCCACCACCCAATCACACAGGATGCCCACATTAAGCCAATCAGCCCAAGCTTTCCTAGGCCAGTAGCCTCTTAACAGGGCACAGGTAAAACCTTCTCTCTTTACACCACAAAGCTTTTCCATTCTTCTCTCTGCCTTTGTTTTTCGTAGCCGTTTTTTTTGTTGTTGGTGGTGTTTGTTTTTTTTTTACTATTTATGACAGTAATTTAATGTTATTCATTCAAAAGTTATCTATCAGTTTTAAATATAAAATTTGTTTCTTATCCACATTAACAGATACTAACCTTTCTACAATTTCTATGCTCTGCCTTCCTTTGAGTCTGCTAAAAAACACGTGACAGTAACGGACTCCCTTGCAAACTTAGAATAAAGAGCCTTTGCTTTTCTCAAATGGTCATTTATCCACACAGCCATAAGGTACTGAAATAGAAAGAAGTTAATCTTTCAGAAACCACAGATGGATATAACCAGCCTCAAAATTCTGCTACCCACAGAGACAGAATTTCCAGGTTCCATGTACATAATTTGGAATGTGAACAGTACATAATACATAATTTGGAATGTGCACAATACATAAAAATATGTATTTTTATTTATTTATTTTTTTACTATGCTCTGTGGCATGTGAGAATCTCAGTTCCCTAACCAGGGATCGAACCCATGGCCCCTGCAATGAAACATGGAAACTTAATCAGCAGACTGCCAGGGAAGTCTCAATGATAAGTTGTTGTTTTTTGGTTTTTTTTTTTACTGAAACAAATGGTGATAGCAAACATGACTGAAAGGCTATAGTACAAATTATTTTAAAAATCCAATTATTTGACTTATGACTTATTGACAATAACATCCTGATGATGCACCTAACTATGAAAGATTTTAAGTATTTCTTATTTTAGCCTCAACAAATTAACTGTTTCAGATAAAATGAAAAGGGTAATATTTCTCTAAAAATGTGGCTTTTGACCTGCCATATATGAATTTTTATAACTAATCTGCAAACACTAAGATTTGAGCATGATTGTTACACAATTAAGCTTATAAATTAAGTGGCTGAGATCTGTTGGGAATTAAGAGTTGGGAATTAAAAGGGCCCAGGAATATAATTTAATGTCATATAATACAGAAATATCACAATGAGATACATGTGGTAATTAGATTTATTCTTAAAAAAACAGTAAGTATAACCTTATATCAGTAGAATTTCACAGACTTTTCAGATATTTGATTTTTGGCTTATAAGTGTAAACCATTGCTTTGAGTGCTATTTTCAACAATACAAAAATCACACTTGACTTAAGAACATTTATTCAATAATTTAAATTCCTCAGAAAACATCAAAAATGCATTACCATTATATTGTAAACATGATCAATATAAATCTTAAACTTGAAAAAAGGAACACAATCCCCAATAGCAGCACAAATCTCATCTCCTTCAGAGGCACATGTATATCAAAATTAATAAAAAGATCTGAACAGAATTGACCTGTCAATTACAATAAAGGAAAGAGGAGATTTTTTTAACAGGGATGATCCAAGAAGAATACATTTGTGAAAGGTAATGAGGTGCCTTAAAATTCTCATTTGAAAATTCTGTGGAGGCTCATTAATGATCCATTCAATTATTCAGATTTGATCGTCTCAGGAAGCAATCACCAACAGCAGTTCTGGGATGCTAGTTGCAGCTTGCATTTGGAGAGTGCTATATTAATGGTGCACAAGAAAAAGTATGTTATTAAACCTCCAGGCGAAGACTTCACCTCCTCCAAGAATTCTTTTCTGAAGACTACCTTCTTTAAAATCTGCACTTTGGATTGAGTTCCTTGCACATTTATACACACTATTGTAATAAGAGAAGAAAAAACCCTTACAGAGAGAACAGTGAGGCCACTCTATACACATAGTGACATTCCCCCCCCCCCCAAGATTAAGCACACACACACATGCACACACAAACACACACATAACTAAAACAAAACTTACAGCTGCCTTCAAAGCTTGATCTAGATCATCCAGTAGGTCTTGTTTATCCTCTAAGCCCACCGAGAGTCGAATAAGTGTATCACTAATTCCAAGGACTTCTCTGTCGCTCTTAGGCACTGATGCATGGGTCATGATTGCCCTGGAAGAAAGAGTGAGCAAATTTCTGATCACTGTATTGTAGCAGTGGAGGAATGTTTCTGTCTCATAAATTGCAATTATTTTCAAATTTTTTTTCTATTCTAAATATCAAATCCTTCATACATATACCTACAATCTTTTGTAAACAAAAGATTGAGGAATTGTGAAAATTATCTTTTCTGGTTATGCTTTTAAATGAAAACCACGATCTTTTGTTGTTTTTATACCATCAGTGAGGTATACTCAATCAGAAACTGAAAGTGCCAGTCAAGTGACTGCATACAGGAGGGAAAGACACAGCTTTTGGTGTGTGAATTTTAACACCTACCTGAATGAGGCCTTGGCCAGACGTCAACACCCCATGACCATCCAGCTGTACTTATAAGAGGCCTCTTGGACCAAGAGCTGGTCAGAATTAATTCTGTTTGGAGCAAAGGATCAGTCCAGAACTGGACCTTCTGAGACAGATCAGGGAAAAGACAACCTAGGATTGCTGGTAGCAATCACTAAGCACGAGGAATTAATTTCAACTCACAATTCATGACACAGAGACCTCAGAGGATGTTTAAAACCATCTAGCAACTCACTGTCAACATCGACCTGTGTAAGGGTAGAGCACCTGTGGGTCAGGCACTACAGTGAAGCTGGGAAACCAAGAAGAAGGAGATATTATTTTTACTCTAGGTAACAAAGCATAAGCTAAAGACTACGACAACTCACGAAACAGAACAGTCTATGGTGAGTGTTAAACAAGCACGGACAACAAGGGTTGCTGGAATTCAGTGGAGGCTGAATCTCTGTGGGCTGAGGCATCGTGGAGGGAAGGCTTACAGTCTTGCTGAGCACTTGAGTACGCTGCCCCCACACTCAACGCTCCCTTCCCACATCCAGCAGAAGGAGTCACTTTCTCCTACCCACTTCAGGCCCATGGAAAGAAAATCTTAGTAAATGAGTATTAAATGAAGAACCTCTTTTATGACTCTAAGAAGTGATGCTCATAGTAAATGAATATCCTCTTCTATAACTCTAATGAAGTTTTACATGCAAATGTCCTCCCCCCAAATTTCTGCCTTTTTAGGTTTTTAACTCCCTGAAAGAGAGTGAATATTCAGAAACAAGAACTTAGGCCTCTGGGAGCAAAAGACTTGGGTGTATGAATCTCAGCCCCTCCACATACTGGCTGTGTTGGACTTGTAAGTTACCAGTCCTCAAGTCAATTTCCTCATCTGGTACAGTGTTATCGACATTTTACAACCAAGGAAACTAAAATGGAGAGTGGATAAGTGAGTTTTCTAAGGCCACTGAGCTAACACATGTTGTTAGGCTGAGAGACCGACCCAGGCCCCGTTGGTTCTGCTTCTCTCGCTGATTGCAATGCTGCACTGGTTGCAGCATTGTTGGGAGACTCGAAATGGGGAGGACAGAACAGACAAGCTCTGACCTAAATTTAATCTTCCACTGGCATTGGGGTTACAGCCTAGCTGGAGTGCCCGACGGCCTAGCAACCTTAGACCAAATCCCTAAATAAATCAGGTGAGGTCTACTTTTAAGAGTCTTAAACTAATACACACTGTATTACTATGAAAAATAAGCCAATTTCATATGCTGAGTGTGCCCTCTTGTGCATCCAGACTTACTAGCAGGCATCTTCCTGAGACACTAACAAAAACTTCTCTGTCTTATCTTAACCATTTGAATCATTATTTGGGCATCATCTTTTTAAGATTATGAAATTGCCTGACTCTCCCCATGAACTACTATAACAGGACAGAAAATGTGCCTACATGCTTAATCCCTGACATTCCTCAACACATAGTTATTTCAGAAATGTTTATGAAAATTAAAACATAGAAATATACCATGCATCTAATACAGCTGAAAATCAATAGCTAATGATGTTGATTTATCCCTGTGATAATTATAATATATGGTCATAGAAACTTACCTTCCTGCTCACTGTTTTTGAGGCAAAGCCTCGAGAGTGAAGTTGCTAATATATTTCTGTGTGACATTTGATCAATCAGCAAAACTTTCTGAATCTTTGTTTCTTTGTCTGTAATATAAGTTGCTGGACTCCCTGATCTTAGGTTTCTATGTTCTAATATCCTCTGGTACTTTGATAAAATTAGATGAATTAGCTAGGTTAGACAGTGAAGGACCAGGAATACTAAGTTAGATTTGGGAGTTTATCTTGTAGAGCCTTTTACCCCAAAGAAAAGAAAATAAATGGACCTCATGGTGACTAGTAGGGCTCTCCTCTGACAGATAAGAATGTGGAGGTGTTTTATCGGAAACACATTTTCCATTTCCCTGGGAGCTTTGAAATCAGCCCTTCCAGTTCAAAGTCTTCAATCTCCCTTCTAGGACAGAATTGGGTAGAATAAGTAGCCCTGGTTCAGAAGTCAGAGAACCACTGCTGAAATCTTCTTCAGGCAAACAGAGAAGAAAACAAAACTTGGGAAAACACAGCTTACTGATCCCAGTAGATTTTTAACAGGGTCTCTATTCTCTTGAGTTAAGAGTCCACTCTAACTGGACAAGACCATGCTGCCCTTATTGCTAAATAACCTGAACTATCACTGATTTTATCCTAATCCTTTCTCAAACAATCATTACAGCTGATATCAAGGTTAAAATACTGAGAAAAACAGAAATATACTTACGGAAGCTCAGCAAGACTTTCATATCCTCCCAAGCTCTCAGCCAGAGTAAATAACTATGGCAAAAAAAAAAAAAAAAAAAAAAATATATATATATATATATGTATCAATTTAGAGCTTCCACTAAAATAAAGATACTAAAAAAAAACTAAAAATAAATGTTTTTAATACAAGGACCCTGCAATGCGAGATGGAAAATTGTAGCAATTATGAATAATTACTACAAAATAATTATTACAAAAACTACAAGCTGGATAAAACCTTGGAGAAAAAATGAAAATAAAATCGATAACAATGAAGCCATTAACAATTGATCTCACCAATTAGACATACTGTGTGTTAACTTTTAAAACATTAAAAGTTGATCAGAGTGAATGTTCTATACCTTCCTCATTTGACCTCATACAAAAGTAAACCTTAACATGAGCTCTCAAACCTCAGAATTATTACATTTGAGACCTGGCTCTGTGGTTACCCTTTATATAAAAATCTCTCAATGTCTATTAAGTTATACAAACTTACTCATTAATATGTACCATTTATCAAATGAATATACCCATTTAACCCCATCCTGGAGTAGAAGGGAAAAAAACTCAGTTGTTGCATTTAGTGTTACTGTGTATTACAGAAGTTTACAAACATGTTAAAAGTTACTTTCACAACTGTATGCAATTAAATGTACACTACTATATTTCTGATTTTAGAAGTGGACAAATTTTAGAACCAGTAAGACTTTGACTAATCTGGCAGCATCCTCTTCTTTTCTTTAGATCTGCAGCATTTAAAACTCAGAGTCTTAAATACATGACTGCCTGAACTCAAAGTAAGCCCAAAGCATGCAGTTACACAGGCCTCTCTCTCAGGGCTCTGGAGAGTCCTACCTCTGTGAACTTTAAACCAAGGCCGCCTTTCCCCACTCCAGGCAGACACAGCCTGAGAGGCACAGGGTTCACGAAGTCATTCCTAGGCTGGATTTCAGTACAGTTTTCAGCAGTGCATTGACACAGTACTGAGGTTTTTCATAACATTTCATTTGAAAAGGCAGTTAGTTCACTAAAAATTTAAAAACAACTGGCTTAGAACATTCTGTCTCTCTCAAATGGATGAAAGCGTCTGCAGAGTTAAGAAAATGAACATGTTCTATCTGCTATCACATCACTCTTGCTTCAAGTGATTTTGTAACCCAATGCATTTCATGCCAAAGAGGCTTGTGGGTGTGACCTGCAGATACAAACACATTAATCTGAGTTGGGTATAAGTGAGAAATAATGAATATCATAATGCTGTAAGAAGGCCTTAATGTCTATAAATTTAAAAACGATTTTGTAAAGTTACCTTTAGGTTCTTGAGGAAAGTTTCAGCATGTTGAAGAGAGCCCTTGATATAAAAGGTGATCATCCCCGGGCAACCTGTGCACTGACGCTTGGCTAGCTCATGCTGAGGATGAGAAGGCAGCCCTGTAGTCATAAGGTATAATGAATGTCTTATTTCAGAGTCAAACATGTAATTTCAGGACAACAACAACAAAAAATCACTGTTCATTTAAGTCAACTACAAATAAGGCTAATAACAGCTTTATGCCATGTTCACATCTGACCTCTTGTTCTGGCCCCTGTCTATCTTGTGAAAGTGGTTCAGTCGTGTCCAACTCTTTGCAACTCCATGGACGATACAGTCCATGGAATTCTCCAGACCAGAATACTGGAGTGGGTAGCCTTTCACTTCTCCAGGGGATCTTCCCAACCCAGGGATTGAAATCAGGTCTCCCGCATTGCAGGCAGATTCTTTACCAGCTGAGCCACAAGGGAAAACCAAACTGCCTTCATTTTGACCTATCTTTTCTAGTCTCTCCTCGCTCTAGCCATGCCAGCTTTCTTTACACCAGTGGCACTGTACTCTTCTTTAATCTTGGGACTTTTGCACATGCTATCCCTTTAGCCTGGAACATTCTGCTGCTCACTGCCCCCTCCCCACTGTTAATTATATCCTCTGTAATTTCTTGTTTAATATCTGTCTTATCCATCAGGCTAGCTCCATGAAGAGAAAGATATTTCTTTTGCTAATAATCGGATCCCAGATCCCAGTACAAGCCTGTCCCATAGTTCACAATTGATAAACATTTATTGAAGACATCTGAATTGCCTTGTCCAGGCCCTTTTAACAAATGCTAACCGATTTCCTCAGGGTACAGTCCAAAACTTTTCTCCCTCTCTCCATTCAAAATACACACCAGTCAACAACTCTTTACCTAGTGTATATATTAAGGCATTTAGTCTCATTTGTATTTCTGCCTTGGCTTACCTAAATGCCTTAAAGGTAGGGATCAAGCATCATTTTCCTTTACACCCAAGACTCCATGAATGCACACCTCAAAAGGATTTAAAATAACTATTTACTTATGACCACCACAATATAAAAGTCTGATAAAATAAATTCAAAAAGTAACATATAAGTCTGCTAACTCACATTAGCACTTACAGATGTTGTGAGAAGTGAAGGAATTCCAAAAAAGGTAAGAGAATTTCAGGGGAATTTTGGTATCAAGTTTTAACTTGGTAAGCATGAAGTCTCAATGTATATCAGATAAAAGTTAGAGCTAGTACAGAATAGCAGACTGATAAGATTATAAGCAAATCAACCTGAAAGTACAAGGTTGTAATACTGGAATGTTGTTGTTCAATCACTAAGTCGAGTTCCACTCTTTTCAAGCAGAGTCCAAGCATCCACTAGACTATTAGACAACTCTAGGCTAAAAAGCACATCTATCTTCTTTACCATCAGACACACATAAAGCAGCACTCAATGATAAGTGGATAACAACAACAAAAATACATGAAAGCACCTAACTTACAAATGTTACATAAACAGAATGCAAGGGATAGCATGTAAAATCCTAGAGTAACCACATGTGCTTAGAAAGCAGATTAACATACCAGGATAAATAACCTTTTCCACCTGAGGATTCGACTCCAAAAACTGAGCAACTGCCATTCCATTTTCGAAATGCTTCTCCATGCGGACTTGTAGNATGTGCTTAGAAAGCAGATTAACATACCAGGATAAATAACCTTTTCCACCTGAGGATTCGACTCCAAAAACTGAGCAACTGCCATTCCATTTTCGAAATGCTTCTCCATGCGGACTTGTAGAGTCTTCAGACCTCGATTGCAGAGGTAACAGTCAATAGGAGATGGAACTGCTCCAAGAGCTGCAAAATGAATATGTCCTGGGTTAGTTTGAAGGTGAAGATGGACCCAGAAAAGCCTCTCACCACTCTTATTCATCATAGTGACTATAGGAAGCTAACGACAAAGCCCAATATTTGAGTTTTAGTGGGAAAAATGAATATATCAAATAAGAAGCATGAGAATGAGGCATAAAAACATGCTTAGAGAAATGGGCTTTAAAATGAGAAGGGAAATGAATATCCTAAAAACAAAGTACAAATACAATCACATAAATTTTTCAAATATAAGCATCAATAGTCCTTTCCATGATTTTAATAAAAGGATGCACTGCACATAGCTTAATCTTTTATTTCTTTAAAAGAGTATTAAAACACAGAGAGAAAATAGCAGTTCAGCCCCTATTATTCCTGGGTGTTCTACCAACATTCTACTAATATTTAGCTTCTGGCTAAGGCAGCCTGTGGTTTCCCAGGCCTCCAGGATACATGCCTCATTCCTTCTTTTTATAAATGAAAGGAACTTAGCACACAATAAATTCTGGTTACCTTCCTTCCTCAGTGCCGCCTTTTGTTGCTCTAACATTTATTTCCTAGAAGGGGATTTTTATTCCTAATTATACTGATCTCTGTCAAATCACATTGGTTAAAATCAAGTCTTTTTCAATAAACCCTTATCAACAACTGAGATAGTAAACAATCTAAACAGAAAACAAATATTTAGATATCTGTTGAAAAATACAAGTTTATATCTTAAGTGCCATTTAAAATTAGATATCATTCCATATATAAAATGTATAGTATAAGAAAGCCATCATCCAAATGTTTAAAAAAAAAAATCCATTGTCTTAAAACTAAAAATTCACTTGGGCTTTACCAAGTTGTGATCAATATTGATATGGATTTGAAATAAGAAACCATCCCTTGGCCATGTTGTAATGCTCTATTACGCTATAATTGCATTTTTACAACCCAATTTTTCTTTCCTCTAAAAAAAAAAATCAGAATTTTCCTTCTATTCGCCATTTCTTCATAAATTAGTGGAATGCTATCACTTCACAACACTTAGTGGAAATACAATATCAAATGTAGTCACTTTGAGAGCACAAAGGGAAATGCAGACTTTTTAATACTTACAATTTTGCAAGAAACGGAGCCTATCATGAAGGCTCTCAGAATTCAGCGACACTAAGCCCATTACAACATCACTGTGGCCTAAAAACAAAACCAAAAGGCTTTAAGTTAAAAAACAATGTATAAACATTATTCCTCAGTTTATAATTTCTAAAATTAGACTTTCACTTGAAAAAAATCTCTGGGAAAAAGCCTTATAGAATAAGTTTAAATACACTTTACTCAATTTGATAGTAACAAAGGCTATATCTAAAACAATAAAATTAAAATCCTATAAAATATGTGTTTCTTTGAAAGCTGTCAGCAGGTAAAATCTTTTACAGTAAATTTTAATACCATGAGCGTAGTTTTGTCTACTATAATGAAGTCCTATATTTAATCAAAGGATAATTCTCTAACTTTCTACATGTGTCAGAGAAAATCTGTATAATAGTAGAAGAAAAAGGACAAAAGGATAAAGCCTTATGATATTATCATCTATCCATGGAAAAGAATGAAGTGTAGACTATGTGTGTCTTACCATTCATGTATTTTGTTGCTGAATACATACAAATATCAGCTCCCAGAGACAAAGGCCGCTAAAAAGGAATTAAAAAATGGTTTTTATTTTAAATGGGAAGTCACTTGAAAATATCCTGCATTACTTATCTATTTACTATTGTAAATTCCACCCCTATTTTAATTTTTCAAAAATACATACATCTTAAAATTTTCCAGGACCTCTGTTTACCTTTCCCTTGATATCATCTTTCCCTTTCCTCCCTCACACCAAATAAAACTACAAAAGTATTGGATTCATTATTCAATCCAAAGGCAGACATTTTCTGGAAATAGCAGATAACTCAGGTCAACAGGTCTTCTGAACTTGTTTCTTTAGCACAGTTGCTGACTGACCCCTAAATTTATTACCTACAGAAGACACGCTGGCATTTTATGACTCAGTAAATGCACAGAATGGTTGACACAAACACTTAGCAATTGTTATGTCAAGTAAATGTAAAACTAATTTGCTTAGGTTTTTAATCATTAAAACCTTACAGTGTATGCTGTGGTTATTCATTTTATTTGTTATGCTCTTGACTCTTAATTACTCTTTTATTATTCTAGTTTTGTCAAGTGTAAAATCACTTGTACAGAAATGTGTTTAGATTGGTTTCCCTCACCCAATTTTCCTGCAAAGTAGTTCTTTAGTCTTAGACGTCTTTGTTTACAGTGAAAATTAATAACCAAGTTACTCACTAACCAATATAATATCAACATCTTTTCATTTAAAATTTCTTGAAAATAAAGTGTGTGTATTTGCAGGTGTGTGTATGTGTGTGTGTTTAACCTCACCACTTGGAGGCTGGAGGACTTTTCATTTAAGTTCTCAAAAACAGGACACTTTAAGTAAAGTACTGCTCAAAGCACTCTGTACATATGTGTTTGCTCATCTCTAAAGTGATGGGTCAAATTAGACGATGTGTGAAGACTGTTCCAGGGCTAAGATTCTGTAAATCCTAGGGTCAAAATGAAAAATAAAAGCCTGTAACTAACATCTGTTGATCTCATTATGCTCCAAAGATCATGTTAAGTATTTCACATAACTTAGTGAAGCAGTGTTCAAAAATACTTCAACTCACTAAAATCAGTATGTTTATGACTCTAATTGTACAGAGAAGGAAAAGGAACTGAAAAAAATAAAATAGATCACTCAGATTTTAAAAACTGGTAGAGTCAGAACTCAGGCTACCAGAATCCAGAGATTATACTCTGAAACTTTATGCTGGTATGTCCACTTTGCCTTTTGTGAGACTTGCAGAAGATCAAGAAGACAAAAGGCAGGAAAAGAAAGAACATACCCAGTTTTCATGAGGGTAAAACAAAGAGAGGATCTTTTCAGAAGATTTGCTTTGTGGAACCAATGCATGCGGTTGCCTAGGGACAATGTGACTCTGACTAATTCAACTGGAATGAATCCAGATTGAAATGAAGTCAATTGCAGTCCCTGGCAAGTGGAATATGATGTGAACTTCAGAAAAGTGGAAAAACTGGACCTATTTTAGTGACAGTAATATGAGAAAAAGGGTCAGGCCTGATGAGTAACCTGGGCAGGCTCAAGCTAAAACAAGTCATGCAATCTCTTTGAGAATATACAGGACTTAGGATGACTCAGCCAGAGCAATCCTCTGCTATATTAACTGCCCTACTCCAAGTGGTAGATGGAGTAAGGAGCGGGTATAATAACTCCCAGAGTGAAAATCGCCTGGGACAAACAGATGATGCCAGGAGATTTTTACTTGGAAACAGATTGCTTTACTTGAGATAGGACTCAGCTGAAGCTATATCACAAGCCACAGGGAGGCAGAGGGGCGCGTGAAACCGTCAGAATACAACGCAACCAGGAAATGTGTCTCAGGAAAGAAAGACAAAACACAGCAGTGCCTTCTGAATAAAACAGACTGAGGCATCTGGTCCCATCACTTCATGGCAAATAGATGGGGAAACAGTGGAAAGAGTGTCAGACTTTATTTTGGGGGGCTCCAAAATCACTGCAGATGGTGACTGCAGCCATGAAATTAAAAGACGCTTGCTCCTTGGAAGGAAAGTTATGACCAACCTAGATAGCATATGAAAGAGCAGAGACATTACTTTGCCAACAAAGGTCCATCTAGTCAAGGCTGTGGTTTTTCCAGTGGTCATGTATGGATGTGAGAGTTGGACTGTGAAGAAAGCTGAGCGCCAAAGAACTGATGCTTTTGAACTGTGCTGTTGGAGAAGACTCTTGCGAGTCCCTTGGACTGCAAGGAGATCCAACCAGTCCATCCGAAAGATCAGTCCTGGGTGTTCATTGGAAGGAGTGATGCTGAAGCTGAAACTCCAATACTTTGGCCACCTCATGCAAACAGTTGTCATTGTAAAAGACCCTGATGCCAGAAGGGATAGGGGGCAGGAGGAGAAGGGGATGACAGAGGATGAAATGGCTGGATGGCATCACTGACTCGATGGATGTGAGTTTGAGTAAACTCCAGGAGTTGGTGATGGACAGGGAGGCTTGGCGTGCTGTGATCCATGAGGTAGCAAAGAGTCGGACACGACTGAGCGACTGAGCGGAACTGAAGGTGAAAACAGCTTTGTGCAAATTCCCAGGGAGTCAGTCCATCACATGGAGGCAGCAGCCTGGGCCAACTTCAGGGACCCATAACAGAAGAAGGGAATGTAAACTGCTGAGCTTGTAAACATCAGCCTAATTGAAGAGCTGAAGAAAATGAGCTGGGGTTTTAGGAACTCTACAGAATACAGGTGAACTACAGGAAGTGCAGTAAGAATGACCACAAGGTACAGACAGAAAGTAAAGAGCAGGGAGATGGTAACTCCTGATAAGGAAAAGAAATAGTTAAGTTACTCAGGGAAAGAGAGGTAGAACATGTGGAAATGGCAGACAACTAGGCAATTATAGAAAGATTCCCAAGATGATCTACCAAAAGGAGCAAAACAGAAAGGAAAAAGTACAAGGAAAAAAAGAAAGGGATTGAGGATGGATGGCAGGGTTTAAGTTGGGAAGAGGTGTATGAAGAGGGATAAGTAGGAAAAGAGTTTAAAAGGAGAACGATAAAGGAGCTGCACAGATACAAGGTGATACATAGAATAGGAATTTATGATACAAGTCAGGTAAAGATACATAAGGCCAGGAATGGTCTATGAAACACAAAGAGAAGACAAACTAGAAAGAAGGAAGGAAAATGGAGAAATAACATGTGTTTTACCTGGCTAGCCTTGCAAATAAAGGAAAAGAAAAGCTATACTCAATGACATTTCAGTATACGATGGACATCTGCAGGACTTACAATGACATGTATGTATGTAAATATATACACAAAACTGACTTAGAACCAACACATAAACATTGAATTCCCTACTATGTGTTAGGCACTGACATATACAATCATATAATAAGGGAAGGTCTTCAGAGAGTTTACAGATAACCTAAAAGCTTTAATGAAGATGATATTTAAAAAATACAAAGTCCCATACAATATACTAGCCTAGGGTTGAAAAAATATTAACTAATGGTAGGAAAGATCCAATTTCAATTCTTTGTCTGATCAATAATTGTGATTAGGTTTCATGTAACTTAATATAAAGAAGTCCTTCCTCTCCTAATTACAAGTACCTGTGTAGTCTACCAATTATGCCAAAAATATTACTTTCATTTACCTGGAAATATGCTGACATAAAAGTGTTATCCACAACCAAGATGATGTCTCCATGTTTATGGACCGTATGTGCACAGGCTTCAATGTCAATCATCTTCAAGCTAGGGTTTGTGGGGGTTTCAATCCAAACAAGCTAAAACAATTCAGTAAATGACAGCAGTTTGTAAAAATACACTGCACAAACATATATCTCATGCACTGTAACCATCTGGGAGGCTACACGGGAAGACCATGGAGGATGAAGTTTAAAGGTCTGAATCTGAATCCCAGCCCCATGAATTTCTGAGAGATCATCACACCTAAGTAACTAACCCTCTATGTGCTCCCAATTTTTCATCTATGCAATACGATTGATATCATTTACTTTATACAGTAGTCATAAGGATGAAATGAGATAATGTACATATAAGCAGAAGAGCACTCGAGTTAGTCACTATAATTATTTTCCATTAAAAAGAGGATGAATTCCAAAGACATGTTTCAAAGTCTGGGAATTTTGCTCTCAAAGATAAACAAAAGATTGTGTAAGATTACATTCTGGAATTTTCAATAAAAAGAACTATTTGATGCCAAAAATATTATGACTAGTATCTTAAATAATGTCAGATGCACTAGAAACTACAAAATAAGTCCCCAGAACCTGAAGAAGAGCATGGGTTTTGGAGTGAGGAAGATGATACATACAGAACAAAAAAACCCGGCCACAGCTCACTTAAGAGATGGTATCATATTATCTGTCTATTCCAAAACCTAGCACAATCCCCACATCATGTATGTTTGATAGTTATTGAAAAGACCAAAGAACAGAATTCTATTTGTTAAAACAAGCTGCTACTATTTTGATTGACATTATCTACTGTGCTTTGCTTTGCTTCACTGCTCAGTCGTGTCCAACACTTGGCGACCCCACGGACTGTAGCCGGCCAGGCTCCTCTGTCCATGGGAATTCTCCAAGCAAGAATACTGGAGTGGGTTGCCATGCCCTCCTCCAGGGGATTTTCCCAATCCAGGGATCAAACTCAGGTCTTCCGCATTGCAGGCAGATTCTTTACTGTCTGAGACACCAGGGAAGCCTGATATTATCTACAGCTTTCTTTTTAAAAGGGTTGATGGTTCTTTCTTCATTGCCTATATAAATGAGCAAGTGATCTGGTTTAATACTCATCCTATTTTAGAGTTTTACCATAGAAAAGATAGGGTAGTTAAAATAATGCATATTCTACAAGAGCAGAATTATTTGAGAACCTATAAAAATTTATTCCTGGGTAAGAATTTATCATTCCCATTCATAATTTTTAAAAGTAATTAAAATAAAAATAAGTAAATAAATACAAAGTAGATTTTACCTAGACTTAAAAAATCTACTTTAAATGATGAGGCAAATATATCGGCGGGGGGGGATGTATTAATTCAAGTTGGTAAGGAACCACTACATAAAGTTCCGCTGACAAGAATTAATATACACACAATTTGCTTTCCTCCCCTAGAAAGACTCAGACCATCTATTTTAATATCTTTTCTCCCAAGGAAGAAAAAAAAGAAAAAGAAAAAAAATAAGTTCCTTTGAAAACAAACCTTAATCACTCAAAGAGCACCCTGGAGTTAATCTTCAAAGTAATTTGTATGAGAAAAAGTTTTCTCTTTTTTAGCATTCACAGCAACATAATCTTGAGTACAAACCTTTTAATCATTAGTAAAAAGTTGGAAAAGGCTGACACTTATAAAAGATGCTGGTCCTTCTTTTCCCCATGCAGAATTTCAATGAGGTTCCAAGAAAGAATATCACAAATGCCATTCATTCCAGCACAAAACACCTTCCAGTGGCATACAAGCCTTCCTAGGACGGAGGCTGAGGATCGCTTGTGGCCCTTCTGTGCTTCTATTATTTTGCTGAAGTAAGTATCCTTCAGAACCCTTACAGCTATGCTTATTAGGATTTGGGAGTTTACAAGCTTCCTTTCTGTAATCCAAACTCTGTGATGACTTCTGTTACCAATACTAGCTTGGTAATGCAGTTAAGAATTGTCTGCTTTTGCTAACAAATTTTTTAACTGTCATCATGTATTGAGTACCATAACAAGGACTTCCTATGCCTTATTATATCTGGAGGAGGGCATGGCAACCCACTCCAGTATTCTTGCCTGGAGAACCCATGGGCAAAGGATCCTGGCAGGCTACAGTCCATGGGGTCACAAAGAGTTGGACACAATTGAGTGACTAAGCACAGCATATGCCTTATCTCATTTAATTTACCCAACTACCTTTTAATAAAGCAGGTAAATTACCCCTATTTAGTAAATGAAAGAAATGAGACTTTGATTAGATAATTTGCCCATGATAATACATCAACTATGACATAGAATTAGAATTTGAATCCCACTATGGAATGCATGTACCTAATCATTAGGCTACAGTACCCAACAGAAGTCAGACCTATCCTAATCTTAATGGCTTCCAATGCAGGAAAACCAGTCATTCAGATTTAAATTATGCCCTCAAGTAAACAGAAATGAACATTTAAAAATCACAAGGAAAACAGACAAACTGAAAACTGAGTTACCTTGGTTTCTGGTGTAATAGCTGCCTCTAGCAATTTGGTTTTGGAACAATCTACAAAAGAAATCTTTAATCCAAATTCAGTTGCCACCTGCCTGAAGTACCTGTTTGTACCTGAGGCAGAAGAGAATCAGATAAAATGAAAAAGAACATTGTATTCAGAAATATTCATTCCTTAAAAGTATAAACACTTTAAAAATATGAGGAAGTGTCAATCACCAATATAGAAACAACCAAAAGCAAGTCTACTTTATTTGAACAGCTGGACCTCCCTGTATGCTAAAGAATGTACTCAGTTGCTCAGTTGGGTCCATGCGACCCCAGGGACTACAGCCCTCCAGGCTCTTAGGCTCATGGGATTTTCCAGGCAAGAATACTGGAGTGGATTGCCATTTTCTCCTCTAGTGGATCTTCCTGACCCAGGGATTGAACCTGCATCTTCTGCATTGGCAGGTGGATTCTTTACCACTGAACCACCTAAAGAATATAGGGCTTAAATTTTAAATTAAAAGTATAAGAGTCAAATAAAACACACTTGATACCCACACCAACTGGCATGAAGCAGAAAATGTTTAACAGTCTCTACTCTTCAAACATAAAGTTGTACGCTCCCTAAAACATCAACATCTCTTTCTAAGAATTCCTTCCTAGTACTTAAATCTAAAATAAATGAGCCAAAGTCAGTGAAATGTTCAAAGTAAATTTTCAGACTGATTATACTTTGGTAATAGAAAAGAACTAGTTATTATCCTTTGTACTTTCTCAATCTTTTTGTTATGTGGTTCTGAAAGCTTTAATAGAAAAATGAGATCATGTAAACCAAACAACTAGAGTTTTATAGTGAAAGAAGATAAATCATTCCATTCAGAATAGTTAATTTTATAAATACTGGTCTGGATTTAAGGTTTACATATGCAAAATTAAAGAAAAGTTTACAATTATTGACAGTGAACCAAAAAAGGAAAAAGAATTTTGTCATCAAAGACTCACTAGACCTTTGGTAGACTGACCCTAGGTAATTTAAGATTGAAGAAGAAAGTAAAGAATTGTTAAAAAAAAAAATCAACAGCAATTTTCAAGATTTTGTACATAGGTTTATCAAGAGGTTTTAATAGTGCATTATAATAGCATCTAAAGGTTTGATTTTTCTATAATTTCAATTCATCAAACTATCCTAGGGAGCTATGATAAAATATAAAGCTTTTTACAAATTTCTGAGAGGGATAAAATGATTACTAAGAGTAAGTCTCTTCCTTCAAAGAACTTACAGATTTAACTTGTTGTTCAAATAGGAGATAGATAAAGTGATAATATTCTAGAAGTGATCTTTTAATTATCTGGAAACATTTGGAATATACATGTACATTAAAAAAATTTTTTTGCTGCTGTTTTGAACGCAAAAATTAGTCTTACTTAAAGATAAGGGCAACTTGTTTTCCTTACTTTCCCACTTACCACTTTATATAACTAGCATTTAAACAATTTGGAATGAAAGTTCTTAAATTTGTATCCACAGATAGGCTACAAAGAGTAAGGCCCTTTGACTTTAAAATTAAAATGATAAATGTTGAGTATAGTCTTAAGCACATTTTTTGGAGAAAAAGGTCCATAGCTTTCAACGGGTTTTCAAAAGGGTCCCTAAAAAAAATCAGGGGGCAAGGTGCTTAAGAGTTGGTTAGGGTTAAGTCCTTTGAGAATGACCTGGACTATAGACATTTTCACTGCAGGCAAAAATTTTAAATTATAGTAGAACACTATCTCTCTAAACACTGTCTTCTCTGGAGCAGTGTATGTCTCAAATAGATTCATCCCAGCAGCTTAAATGGGCTTCCCAGGTGGCGCAACAGTAAAGAATTCACCTGCCAATGCAGGAGATACAAAAGATGTGGGTTCGACCTCTGGGTGAGAAAGATTCCCTGGAGGAAAAAATGGCAACCCACTCCAGTATTATTGCCTGGAGAATCCCATGGACAGAGGAGCCTGGTGGGCTACAGTCCATGGGATTATAAAGAGTTGGACACAATTTAGTGACTGAGCATGCATGCAGCAACTTAAACAAAATTGTTATTAAACAATCAGTCTTATAAGCAGTTCTAGAGCATAGATCCCCAGTGTTTCTGCTCCTCCTTTATCAAATGTGGAGCAGCATGGAGGTGTTCATCATATTTTGAAAAGATAAACAATAACCCAAGTAGCAATGTTAATATAATTCAGGACCCAGTTTATTGTCTTTAAAATAACAGCTGAAACAGCATGAATGAGAGGTCACCTACCTCCATACACATCATCCATACAAATAATTTGGTCTCCTGCTTTTAAGAGATGGGTAATAGTCACAGTGGCTGCTAAACCTGAAGCAAAGGCCAAACCTAAAATAAAAACCAAGATAGAGTAAGCCAAAATGCCAGACCCATAAGTTAAAAACACCTACAGTATTTATTTGCGTTGCTTTAAATCCCTCTCTCTGCTGACTGAAGGACAACTATCACTACTGAGTCATCAGAAATCCCCTGATTAATACCATTACAAAATCCTCCATTCTATTTCAAAAATAAAAATACCTAATTCTGCTTTGGTTATAACAACATCTCTCTGAAAAGCTTCAAAGAAATAGCTGTTTACAAAATTCTAAGTCAAAAGATCAATTGCCAATTAAATTACAGTTTAAAAATATCAAACTCTAAAGAAATTTCAAATTTTAGGAACAGAGCTAAGATGTGATTCATCCATTAACTATATGATATTCAATTGAGCAAACATTTAACAAAATTCAAAATCATACTTGAGATGTCTGATAAATTTCATTAAAAAAAATTATTTTAATGTGGATTCTCTTCTAAACATACGTGATCTGGAATCACATATTGAATAAAAATAGTGAAATTGAACAATAAAAAAGAAATACTGGCATTGTACATTAGACCCTGTAAAGGAAAACATCCTACAAAACATCAGTATATCACCTTGATGATAAAAGAAATCACCTATGACTGATAGATGGGATATCCAGTTAACTTGAAAAAGGTAATTATTTCAAAATTTTCTCAGAAAAGTTGAGGTTGGTATTGCAATTTTCTACTAGGCAGATTCACAGTCCAACCACGAATTCATATAGAAAGTTAACCTTGAAATCCAATTCAAAACAACCATGTTTTCTGCAGTCCACCTGTAAAGTGTCTAGCATATGAACCATCAGCTTTTATATCCTCTGTGGGAAATGTTCCTCATACAGTATTAAATATCAGAAATTTGGTGTTTAAAACATTCTCTCATCTAAAAAAAAGAAACCTCAAGAACTCATGTTAATATATCTAATTCCTACACTCTTGCTGTGAGAAAATTCCTAAGACTCTTATTTTCTAACTCATTATTCTGCCCTCATTTAGTATCATTTGTATAAAAAATACAAAGATGATTTAACAGCCATCCATTCTATTCACTGAAAGAATACAAAATCTGAGGTGTTAATTCATAATCTCTGAAATCACAGTATCAAGGGCAGCTGGCTATTGCAAATGTTCTTTGGTCCTATTCTTGGGCCCCAACGGCAGTTGATATGAGATTCCCTAGAACTTACTCATCAATTTCTCATATTTTTAAAAGCCATTTATACTTTTTTTCCTATGGAATGGCTATTCAAATCTTGTGTTAATATTTATATTGGTTACCTTCTCATTAACTTGTAAGAGATTTTTATATATTGAAAAAGTAGCCCTCTGCTTAAAACACACACACACACACACACACACTAGCAGGTGAATGAACCAGAGCATTAAAAGGTTTATGTTCTCATGCATGGTGTTATAAAACTTGGTTAATTTGTATCTATTTATATTGACAGCTCCAGGTGAAGAATGAATTTACATGAATACTAAGTTATTGACACATTCTGCCACTTTGCCTCTATTCAGATTTACTTTCACTTTGTAGCTACACATATACATATGAAGTCCACTGTGCAACCTTGGGCAAAACAATGTCTTAGAAAAACAAGACTTTTTAACTAGCTGATTTCCTTATTTCTTTCCAATTCTACATTCCGTGCCTCTATGATTTTCTCTATATAAGTAAGAATGAATTCTAGATTTTACAAACTTTGAAATGAAAATCACTTACTGTACTTGGCCCCATCCAGTGCCGCCACTGCTTTTTCCAAGCAATTCCGGGTGGGATTTCCAGAACGGCTATACTCAAAACCCTGAAGGAAAGAAGTCAGAGTTCACCCTAAGAGATTTAAATTTATTATCAGAGTCTTAATATGAACATCTCCACAACTACAGGGGCATCCTACCATAAGGACTTTCTGTTGTTTATCTATGACATGTCTTGCCATCAGACACAAGAATGAGTGTTATGGCTGTAGTGGTAAGGAGAAGCTCTGAAGTCAGCCAAACTGGATTAGAATTCTGTGTCTGCCACTTAGGAGCTATGTGCCAATAGATAAGTTACTTAATATTTTCCAGAATCAACCTCTAGATCTGTAAAATGGGAATAAAATACAGGTATCTAGTTCATAAAATTGACATGAAGATAAAATGAGATAATGTATAATAACTTCTCTGCATGATGCCTGGCATGTGCTAACTACTGGGATAAATGGTAGTTTTTATTATTAGCATTATTATTATGTTAGACTCACCTCTACCCATTAATCTAGGGGTATTAGGAAACAGGAATCACCTTAATCAACAAAGTAAACCTATTTCTAACCTGCATGTCATTTCCTAAAAAATAAGTGATGCAAATTCTGTTTAGCATCCAGCAGGAAGACATGCTTACAAATGCCTGAAGTTCAGGTCTTAGTTCTACAAAAGTGACTCAGAAAAGGGAGTCATTCTCAGCAAAACAGCTCTACACAATCCTTTTTTAAAATTTGCATTATATTCCTTTTACACATATGGTACTATACTAGCTGAAGTCATCCAGTCATTTTATTTGATATTTATTTTTATTGAGGTATAGTTGATGTACAATATTACTTTGCTTCAGGTGTACAACATAGTGATTTACAATTTTTAAAGGTTATATTCCATTTGTAGTCATTATAAAACATTGACTATATTCCCCATGTTGGTACTAAGCATTCTTATAGCTTATTTATTTCATATTGTAGTTTTTAACCTCTTAATCTCCTGCCCTAACTTCCCCCTCCCCTTTTCCTCTCCCCACTGGTAACCACGAGGTTCTCTATATCTGTGAGTATGGTTTTTTCTTGTTGTTGCGATAGTGACTAGTTAGTTTTATTTTTTAGCTTTCACATGTAAGTGATATCATATAGTATTTGTCAGTCTCTGTCTGTATCCAGTCATTTTATTTAATCCTCACAACCTCCTCTGAAGAAACTAAAGCCAAATGTTACCAGGTATGTCAGAGCCAGAATTCAAAACCAGGATTTAAACACTGACTAAAAGTCCTGTACATACTTTTCTCCTGCTGTATACAGCACATGGCAAAACATAACCACTTTTTACACTTGGTTCTGACTCAGGAGCTCCCAGTACTAGTTACACACACATGTGCATGCATGTGTGCTAAGTCACTTCAGTCATGCCCAACCCTTTATGACCCTATGGACTGTAGCCCGCCAGGCTCCTCTGTCCATGGGGACTTTCCAGGCAAGAATACAGGAGTGGTTTGCCATACTCTCCTCCTGAGGCTCTTCCCAGCAAAAACACATATATTACACAAATGTATATATAATCTGTAGTTTATTTAGTTTTGTTGCCTTATATGTTGCCATGTTTTTAACAAACTTAGTAGGCATATTTTATAGGGCTCCAGGATATCCTCATCACTCTCCACCATCGCCTCCTTGATGGGACCTGCAGCTGTCCTCCAGATGCAAAAAAACTGTCTGGAATCATGTGGCTACTGCCATGGAAAGGTAGCCCATATCTTCCTAAATATTCATGGCAAAGATTTAAATTTGTGGAGAGAAAAGAAGCATATTTCAGTGGCAAATTCCCACACTATCACTCACTCAATGGTTTTCCAAATGGAACTGAAGAATTAGATGCTTCTCATTTCAGTTCCTTGATCCTCTTTAGTGCTCTTAACTGATACATTAAAGGCAGTAAGAGGAGTTTGGAGGGACTTCCCTGGTGTTGCAGTGGTTAGGACTCCCAGCTTCCACTGCAGGGGGCACAGGTTTGGTCCCTGGTCGGGGAACTACTACTAAGATCCCACAAGCAGCACAGCATGGTGGGGAAAAAAAAAGAGTTTGTGGATTTTATCACCTGGTTGGCTCTCTGAAAACATTTAATTATTAATATCATAGCTAAATTATTAACTTTTGCATTAAATATTAAAGCTTGGGCAGCTACACGTTTATGAAGGCTTACACTGGGAAGGAGCTGGAAAGACAGATGTGTACACATTTTGATTACAAGTTACAATAGCTCAAAGTATCCTAAACCAGTTGTAGAAGTGCCCTTAGAACTCCACCTCACAAAACAAAGGGCCACGTCTAAAAGAACTTCCTCAACTTATATAACACCCTAAAGAGGTGTTTGAAGTATTGATACAACCAAGATTTTAGATCTACAAAGTTTATTTAGTTACATTTGACACCTGAACAACTCTTGAGTTAGGGTGCCAACCCTCTGCTCAGTGGAAAATCCATGTACAACTTACAGTCGGCCCTCCATAACTGAGGTCCATGTGAACACTGTGAAACTACTAAGCGATTATAATGTATCATACCATATAGTTTAACGTACATATCAACAACTTACATGGCTGGTACTATTAGTAAAACATTTATTTACACAGGATAAGTTAAATTACTTATAAGTAAGCAGATAAGTTAAATTACTTCCTCAAGATTGCCCAGCTCAGAAGAGGTGCTGTTAGAATTCAAACCTAGGGCCTCTGACTACAAGATTTATGCTCTTAATCACTAAGCCACACTGATGCAATGGGTAAGATTGTTGCTAACATAACTGTTAGTGCAGCACCGTGTGGATTAAAGCCCAAGAGTAGGTGGTGTTCTCGAGCAAGAATGAATCCCAGCTCCATTACAGTGGCCTTTGCAATAGATGCTTAACATCCCTAAACCTCAGGTTTTTCATGAGAGAAATGAGAACTTAGTTCAGAATAGAATTGCTGTAAGGATTATCTGAGGTAATATATGTAACACGCATGATATAATGTAGGTATGTACTGATATCTGGCATACAATAGTACTCAATATCTATTAATAACAATTGGAATAATATTGGGAATTAATAGCTATTGGGACGGATCTTGATTCCAGGTGAGTTATGACTTAGTTTTTTAAGTTGACTTCTTACTATATCTTTATAATTTTTGTTGCTTACGGTAACTCAAGGAAGTTAAGATAATTTTGACCTGCAAATCTGCCCTAATCACATGAATATCAGTCCAAATCTATACAGCAAGTTAGACAAACTGTTCCCTCTAGTCCTGCTTATCAAAAGAAATATGATCACTGAACCATCCCATACAAAGCTTTACTACAAGGAGGTTTACAGGTATCATCCTTACAGTAAACATCCTTACAAATTACTTGCGTGCTTCTTAATTTACAAGCCATCTCTCTTTTACCGCCCAACACTGGACCGCCCCGGACACACCCAGCTCACCGAGTGCTGGCCAGGAGCCCCTTGCTTGAACGTGGTGGACAGCGAGATGGGGGGCACCACAGCCTGGGAGGTCCATTGCTCCGGTTCTTGGCCCACGTGGATGGCCTGCGTAGCGAAATGCTGGAACCTAGGCAGGAATCCGTGTGGGGAGGCTTCTTTTTCCTGCATGCTGAGCTGCGAAGAAAGGAAAGAGTAAAAGAGCGAGGAAGATAAAACTCTGAAACTGATACGTCAGGACTTGAAAAAGACAGAAGAATCAGGTGAATGGGACGTAAAGTTAGGCAGGGGGATTCAACCGCGAGTGCACTAGAGCTGAACCCTACCCCTCTGCAGCTGGGACTTTATTAACCGGCCTTCAGCGTTGCTTCACCCCGGGGCGGAGCCAGCACGACCCAATGAGCGCAGGCCCCAAAGCGGCCCCCGCTTCTCATTGGCTGGCAGCAGAGGCGTAGCCTGGAGCGTCACCGCAGAAGCTCTTCCCGGTGCAGGCTGTTCCGTGAGGCTGGATGGAGTCTGTGTTAACCCGCTTGGTGTTGGTTCCTGCGGGTGAAATTCCTGAGTCCTGACCCTAGGAAAACTTCCTTGCTGGCTGCTGTGAGCCACCCGGGCGTCTATGTGACCTCAGACCGGAGGTTCACGGGAGACGAGGAGAAAAACTGGCTTGATGTTGAAACCCAGTAACCTGAAAAGAGGCCACACAGACAGCTTCCTCTTTAACAGCAGCCCTTGCCTGGACCCTTCCCCACCTCCACCTACCACCCTTTGTCCTGAGGGCGGTTCCGAAGGACGCGAGCGACAAAGTGGAGATCGGTGACGAAAACGGCGGCCCAAGCTGCCAAATGCGCAGTTTGGATTCTCGTTAACAGCGGGCAGGCTGCCTTTGAAATTACGCTTTGTGTAATGACCCAGTACTTAACGTTGATTGAAATCGGAGTGAGAGTCGTATTTTTAAGTAATAGTAAAGCTACTGTAGAGAGGATCTCTAAGGAAAACTCTTGGCAGCTTTCTAACAGCTGTTCAAACATAATTATCTTTTGAAGTACCCAGAGAAACCTCTCTCTGATGAAATGCAAAACAAAGTGTGGCTTTGAAAAACTTATTGGAGCCTTAAATCATTAGACAGATTGCCTTCGTTGTTACACAATTGACAGCAACATCCTGGTAGGAATGGAAGTTGTCCTGGGTCGCAATTTATTCACCTGTATCCACAGTCCTACTCTCACAAGGATCACTCCCCTAAAAAACAACAAAAGTCTCCTTGTTCCCTAAACAATACAGACTTGACCTATTTAGTGTGGCTACTATTTGCTAGGACTAGGGAATTTAGGAATACTTCTCTTCCTGCCAAGTGTTAGCTAAATATCTGAAACTTTATTAAACTAACTAAGGAAGAAGAGAATACAGAATAAATGGCTCTTAAAATTTTACTGAAAGGACTGAGGCAATTTGCTTGTCAAATTAACTACTGGGATACAGCCATTAAGCCCTGGGAGCAGTGCCTAAGGACGTGCAGATTTTTAAGAAACCAGGCAAAATTTTTAGCCCTGGGGGAAAAAATGAATGGACTCCAAAGCACTAATAAATATTAATGTATATTTAATTAACATTTTTCTGTTAAACATATATCAATTGCAACTCATCTCAAGAGTTACATATAGCTGTACATGGGTATGTTTTTATGTGATATGAAGCTTAAGTACCAGGAGGGTCCTAATTAGCTTATCTCCTAAATAAGCATACCCCCTAACGTCTGCGAACAAACACTGAGCTTCATAAATATGGATATTGTATTTAGTATTACCATAACAAAAGATTCTTTTTTAAATGACACTAATATAAATGCTCTAAATCAAGCCTTTTTCACTGTCATAAATTGAGAAAACTTTAATAGGCAGCAGCTCAGTATCATGTATCAAGGATTCCCATGACTTAGTAAGTTTACTTGTAGGAATTTATCCTTTAAACGTATTCCCGTATGTGTGTAAGGATGAATAAGATGTTATTCATACCTATTTTTGCTATTTTAAAAGCAAAAGAATGGAAAACAGCTTATGTCTCCATCCACAGGAGACTGGTGTGTTAATGACACAATTCTGTGAGGGGTACGGTATAGTTGAGAAGCAGGAGATTGATCTGAGTTGGTGTGTCATGATTTCTAACTTCTGAGACAGCAAAGCAAGGTGCAAAGCTATGTGTATGTTATGCTCCCACTTTTTCAAGAGAGTTTATACCATGGTGCATTATTTTTAGAGGAACATACATAATTTAATGGGCTTCCCAGGAGGCTCAGTGGTAAAGAGTTCACCTGCAGTGCAGGAGGCGAAGGAGACAAGGGTTCTATCCCTGGGTCAGGAGGATCCCCTGGAGGAGAGCATGGCAACCCACTCCAGTATTTTTGCCTGGAGAAAGGAGCGTAGCGGGCTACAATCCATAGGATCACATAGAGTCAGACAGGGCTAAAGTGACTTAACATGTAATTTAATATGTGTAAAAATCATTCTGGTAGTTTAAATCATGGACCTGCAGTAAAAAGATAACTGTCTAAAGATAAAGTTTTATATCTAAGGATAACATTTTATTTGCTTTTGTGTTTAAGTTTTATACCACGGGCATATTCTACCTCTTAATAACAAAATTAATATCAGGCATCCTAATTTGAAAATGGCAGTTAAGCAAGTAATTTAGAAAAAAACTTCTTAAGTGAAAAGAAGACAGCTACTTTAAATATAGTAAATGCTATATCGTTTGGAGCGTGTGCTAATTTTTCATGTAAATTAGCTCATGAACAGCAAAACAGCACTATAACACTGAAAAAAAGATTAATTCCTCTTAGAGTGGGATTCTACATGAATGTGTTTTTTTTGGAGGAAATGGGAGATTCCTTATTTTTTACATTTATTTCATTACACAAAGTTCACTAATATTTTTATAATAAGTACTTTTTACACACCATGAAAATAGCATTGTAATTAAAGTCAGGCTATGGATAAAGATATTGTGATGGAACAGTGAAAACAGTAAAGACCTGGGAGGGATGTTTCTGACTGTAAAGCATAAATGTAGGCAGTGCTTATTGACTATGCGAAAGCCTTCGACTGTGTGGATCACAACAAACTGTGGGAAATTCTGAAGGAGATGGGCATACCAGGCCACCTGACCTGCCTCTTGAGAAACCTGTATGCAGGTCAGGAAGCAACAGTTAGAACCGGACATGGAACATGAGACTGGTTCCAAATAGGAAAAGGAGTATGTCAAGGCTGTGTACTGTCACCCTGCTTATTTAACTTATACGCACAGTACATCATGAGAAATGCTGGGGTGAAAGAAGCACAAGCTGGAATCAAGATTGCCAGGAGAAATATCAATAACCTCCGATATGCAGGTGACACCACCCTTATGGCAGAAAGTGAAGAGGAACTAAAAAGCCTCTTGATGAAAGTGAAAGAGGAGAGTGAAAAATTTGGTGATGGCTGGATGGCATCACCGACTCGATGGGCATGAGTTTGAGTAAACTCCGGGAGTTTGTGATGGACAGGGAGGCCTGGCGTGCTGTGATTCATGGGGTCGCAGAGTCGGACGTGACTGAGTGACTGAACTGACTGACTGACTGACTAGATCTGTTTTGTTTTACCTCAAAGGAAACAAAATTACTCTTCCTTGACTTTTGACAATGAAGTTTATGAGAAGGCAATTTGGGGCTCAGGGAGAAGAGAAAGACATTACAACACAGTCCTTAATTTGGGTTTTGTAGATCACTACAGGGGGCCAAAGCCCTGAGGATATCACTTAGGACACCTACTTTTGTTTGCTGGTAAAAATACTTTTTTCAAAATAGTAACAGAAAACCCCTTAGTCTGGTTTAGATATGAAATAATTGGAAGTGATAAGTCTTGAGAGTAAAAGTCTAAATATTCTTGATAAAATTATTAAATTTTGTATCAAGAGAAACACTGGAGATTGAGTTTCTAATACAATTTCTTTGTTTTAGTGATGAGATGAAAAAAGTTGTGGCTTGCTCTTGCTGACATGTACAGTAAGTGAGTATCTAACCTGATAATAAAGAGAGTCTCAGATATTTGGGATAATAAAGTAGCCTATAAATCATTAAGATACATTCCACAATAATATAAAAGGAATAGAATATGACTGAAAAATGTAATGAAGTACTAACTGGGGCATCTTAACAGTGAAGTTACTGAGTATGAGAGTCAAAATGCTTGAATTTGAAGCTTAGTTCTAGCACCTGCTATCTATGTAACCTTGAAGAGTCAATTTACTGAACCTCTAAATCGCAGGCTCCCGCTTTGTAAAAATGAGAAAAATAATAATATTTCACAGTTTTCAAAAGTTAAGTCCTTAGAAGTTCATGGCAGACCAGGATAGAATGTGTGGCAAGTAGACCTAGTGGGTAGCACTTAGGTCAGAAAGCTACGTTTTGATGTTTTGATATTTCAGCTACTTTGCAGAGGTATACTATACATAGGCCATGTATTCCAGTGGAGAAAGTTGATGATGTTTTTTTGCACACCTCACAGAGATAAGAGCGATAGGTGACTTAAACTATTCAGATGGGCCAAAGTCTTGTTCAACTGATAATATAGCAGTTGAAGAGCTCTTGACTTTCTTGCTAGCAATTTTATTTCATAGGGAAAACATTTTCGGGGGGTTTCTTCAAGTTTCAGGACTGTCTGGTTCACTGGCGGCTGATGACACACCCCTACATATTTCCAGATTTCCAAACATGGAAAGACTAACCCCAATTGAGAACTATGACTAGAGGAACCAAGGGACTGCTCTGAATTTAATCGTATCAACAGGAGAATGGATTTGTAATGAAGACATACAGAGAACTTTGAGAGAAAATGACCTGTTATCCTGAAAATTCTGTTATCTAAGGAATGGAAAGCAAGATATTTAAGATATACTTCCTAGACCAAACCTCCCCAAACTATGTCCCTAAGAATGTCTATATAAAACAAATGGCTTGTGGCTGAAAGAAAAATGTTTTGTAAACACTACACACTTAATCAGCCATCTTTAGAGTTATAATACATACTATTAGCATAATAAAGGGTCAGAGAAATCTTAGAACAGGAAACCAAGTATCAAACATTTCAGAAGAGATGACTCATCTCTATACATCTATTAATAGGCTCTCTTCCTCTGGCATATCTTCCATTTCTACTGTAATAGTTTTCTCAACAGTAATTTTAAAAGATAAAAAAATAAAAATTTAAATTTAAAAATAAATAAGAAGAGCTTCTCGGAATAGGCTTTAAACTACAGACATACCACAGAGGTACTGTGGGTTCAGTTCTAGACCACCAGGATAAAGTGAAT